TCTCCTCCTCATCTACTGATTCCCCCTAATTTCACTATCATTGACCACTGCAGTGAAGATCTTGTTGCATCCAAAACTGCCTCTTCATACCAGCAGATGGAGAAAGGAAACAAATAAAACATCCATATCTAATAAAGAGAGCTGCTATAGGAGCACTTCAGGTTTTTCGTTGCTCAGACTGGAGACAAAAATAAATGAAGGTACTCTCATCCTCTGTCATCCGTTTGTGACACGATAAGTGAGAAGTTACCCAGCATTACATTTACTATAAGTTATCTTTAAAAAGTATGATGTTCCTAATATACTGAATTTACAGAGTCTCAGTTTATAAAAATATGCACTGTTTGTCCAGTGCATATGCACTGTTTGTCCAGTGCCTTAATTGAAAAATTATCTGCTTGGCTGATATTTTTGTACATATTCTGTGTTATAAATGGATGAGTTTGTATATGTTCAGCACCTCTTAACAGGGCCTCACCAGCTGAGTCTGAGCATGCAAAGTTGAGGCTCCAAATATTAAAGATAGTCAAAGGGGCTTAAATTTGCAAAACTATCTCAAGATCATCTAGTAAATTGGCGGAGAATACAGGAATAAAATCCCCCAAGTCCCAATACCCAGTCATTTTCTCTAACATCTAAAACATTCCCTTTTTCCATGGAAAAGCAACTTTTGAATATCTTTATCAATTTATCATTTTGGAACTATAGTTGAAAGGTTTATTAAGGCACACTATGTTTAGAAGAGTAGTCATTTACATGGAAGCAACATAATCCTTAGGAAGTGTTTACGTTTCAGATGCATAGATTTACATGAGGTTATAATCCAAACTAAATCTATAATCAATAAATAAATCCCAGCTAAATCATAAACGCTCAGTGGCTTTGGGTTTTTTTAAATTAATTTAAATTCTGAAATAAATAGTTGAGCATTATATGTTCTGTAGTCATGTTAAATAATGTAACCAGCTTTTTCATGATAAAATCAAGTTCATTGTTTTATAGCCAACATTAAATAAAACAATTTTGTAGAAGAAAAGAGTATATGTGGCCGTTTTACAAACTTTATTTTCATGGTAGTTCACACCTAGTACATACCTAATACAGGCTCCTGAATTGTTCCATGGCTCCCATGGCAATGGAGTACATAAGTAAGCACTGTTATATAACACTACTCACTGTATCACATGAAAGTTAATATAGGTCTTGCTCTTTCTACAAGTTAATTGTTCTTAAATACATGCACAGTATAACAGACAGTGATCTTTTCCTTCCTGATACAAAGAGTTGTGCAGGTTCTCTGTTTCCTTAGTCTGTCAGCAATTATTGTTTTCTCACAAACACCTGAAGGCTCCCATCACAGGGTGAAGAGGAGTAGAAGTTGTACAATATTTACACTATTGTTGTACAGTACTTTACACTCTTTCCAACCCATAAACACATTGATTTCAGTGGGTGTTGGGCAAGGACTCTATCTAGACTCCCCAGTTCAACTCACAAAAAAAAAATCCTGGGAAGTTCCCTAGGATGCTAAGCATCACTGCTGCTCCGTTGGATGGTTGGTTGCTATAGAGCAGTCTGATCTTATTTTATAGACTTCACCAATAATCTGCAGAATATCATGGATTTGGACTACTTATGTGTATCTCTTACCTTCTTTCTCCCATGACTCCCACAAAAATGATACTTCTTCACATCTCCCATTTCTAAACTTGGCAAACCCTCAGTACCCTGCATTTACATTCTGGGACCCATATAGTCTGCCTTCCACATCACAAAGCACTTGTAAAAATAGGAGTATTCAGTAGTGCTTCTTTCCAGTTTCCCTTACCTCTTACTATTCTTTGGCAAATGGGAAGACACTTTTCTCAAAGTACTCTAGTGGGTCAGTTATAGAGGATACCGCTAATGGCTGCTCAAGAGACTTCTGATGTCCGTTGTTTAGCCCAAACCTACTTCACAGCAGATGCAGTCTCTTTTGTATGGTTGAATGCATAGCACCACATGTCCTAGAGCACTGGTTCTCAACCTTTTTTGTACCAGGACCCATTTGTAAACTTCAGTGGTCAGTCTCAACCCAGTGCCCCTCACTCTTGACCTGCTGTCCCCCCACCCCCAGCCCCCCAGTGTGTGGGGCAAGAAGTAGGTGTTTGGGGGTAGGGGGAACCCCAAGCAGCCCCTCGCAGGCTGGAACTCTGTCAGCCTGCAAGGGAAAAGCCATGGCTTCCCATGTTTTTCTCCTTTAAAGGATAATCTATTTTTTTAAATTTGTTCATGACCCTTTTATATATTCTCACACTGGGTAGAGACCCATGGGTTGAGAAATGCTGTCCTAGAGAGAGCATGTTGTACTGTCCTGTGTCTGAGTTTCTTGCAATGAAAGAGTGGTGTTAGTAGATCTTTAATTAAATTTATTTTAAAACGTTTTCAATGAAAAGATGGATTTCTAGAAGCCTTTAGGAACAGGTCTCAGTTTTAAGATAGGTAAATAAATATATAAACTCACAAAAGGTGACAGTGCCCTTTAAGTGTTAAAAGATGAATCCTGCAAGATCATGAGTCAGTTGGTACCTGTTTATGTTAGTTGGAGTTAATCATTCTCAGCACATCAGTGGGACCAGGCCTTTTCCCTTTTAATCTTACACAGAAAGTAGAACAGCTGGAAAATATATGCATTTTCCAATTTTCATGAGGTATGCTGTTGCATTTATCTCCATTGGCTAACCACATGCCAAATGCCAAGAGTGTGAACCAAAGCTGAATATGTATGTATTTTATCTGTCTAGGTCTTTTATGCTGTCTTGGACCAGATTTATCATGGGAAACATCCTCTAAAGAGATCAACCACAGAAATTTTAAAGGAAACCCAGGAGAAATTTTATGGATTGCCTTATGTATCTAATACTGTAAGTATAACATTTATGCTTTAATGGTTTAAAGCAGAAAGCTTGGAAATGTTTGTGTCTTTGGACTTTGCCATTTAATACAGGGGTGGGCAAATTATGGTCCAGGGGCCTGATCTGGCCCACCAACTAATTGTATTTGGCCTGCAGGCAGGCGGCTATAAACTTGTGGGATCCGGCCTGTGGGCAGTTGGCAGCTCTGGCTCCAGCCACTATGTTGTGCCAGGCTGGCAGGCAGGACTGCTTCTGCCTGGCACTGATGCAGTGGCATCAGCTGTGGACCTAAGTGGATGCCTAGATGCCCCACCTGGAACCTGCCAGGTGCATCCACAGCTGACACTGGTGGCTGCTTGGGGCTGCTTCCACCATGCTGGGCAGGTAGTGGTGTAAGCTGCGAATGGGGCCTGTAGGCTCCAGGTTGGGGATGGGGATCAGAGTGTGCTACAGCTCTGGGCGGAGGGGGAGGGGCAGAGGAAGCAGTAGGGAGTGGGGGGAGAGAGAGGAGGGGGTTAGGGTGTGAAATAGCTCCAGGGAGGGGGAGAGAGAGAGAAGATTGGGGCTGCTTCATCTCCAGGGAAGGAGGGAGAGTAAGGATCAGGGTGTCCTACAGCTCTGCTGGGGGGAGGGGGAGCAGGGGGGAGAGAGGATCGGGGTGTGCTACAGCTCCAGAGAGGGAAGGAGGGGGAGAGACAGAGAGGATGGGGACTGGGGCATATACAGCTCCATGGAGGGAAGCAGGAAGAGAGGGGGAGAGAGATGTGGCCCTCAAGAGGACACTGACTCGTTTAAGTGACTCTCCAGCCCAAATAATTACCTACTCCTGCCTTAATAGGTTATTCATCCCTTTTTAGCAGAATTTTTATGTTTTCAAATTTTATCTCAGTATATTCCAAAACAGAAAAGACTGAAGCTGTAGGCACAAAGAGCCTTTTTTGTACCGCTGAATATTTTATGTAGATGGTGAGCCATTCTTCTTTGTGTTCACTGGGGCAGGATAAGATAAAATAAAGTGACTTAATTTGAAGCCAGGAAGATTAGAGTTGGATGGTAAGGAAGAGTTGTAAAACACTGAAGCAGGCTACATAGGAACACTGTGAAATCTTAATTTTGAAGGCTTTTAGAAACAAGTTAGGTAAACATTTGTCTGGGATGGTCTGAAGGTATACTTACCATGTGGACTAGATCAGAGGTGTCAAATGTGGCCCACAGGCTATTGGAAGTTGGGGATGTGACCTGCCACAGAACGTGGGGCCCTTCAACACTGCAGGCTATGGTTGTCAGCAGCAAAATTGGCTTGCAGCTGTTCCCAAATCCTACTGATGCCCCTGGACCATCTTAGGATCTGCTGCCGCCAAAGTCCTTGCCACCCATGGACCTGTTGTCATTGCTGCCGTGGTGGCCACAGCTGCTGCCCCTGTGCCCTGGTCTGGATCCAGACCACAAGGAGTCTAACAGTTTGCATCCAGCTTGGAGCCTAAGTGAGTTTGACATCCATGGGATAGATGATACCTTCAGGTCCCTTCCAGCTCCCTATTTCTGTGATTCTGCATCAAAGATACAGATTATTTGATTGATGATAAACTTTCCCAAGTTTCCCTATTTGATGATAAAGGCATGGAGTCTTTTGATTCTTCTTCTTTTTTCCTACTAAGCAGCTACTTATACTGACACTGTTGCCACTCTGATTATAACTCATTAGAGTGTTCTGGAAAGTGGTATACCCATCAGTCCCTCAGGAAGTTTGTGTAACCTCTAAAGAATAAGTTGGTGCTTTGCCAAACTGGAAGAAGCCCCAGTTGTTTGTGTAAAGTGCACATCGCTGTATTAGCTTTCAAATGGGCCTTCTTCAGGTATACGATAACATCAGATTTCAGGGTCTAGGTATGAGGAGAGGAATATTAAACACACACTCTGTCAACTCTGAAGAAGTTAATTTTCTATAAATAATTAACAGCTAAAAGCAGTTTGAAAAGAACTGGTGAGACACAAAGTTCAACATGCAGTTCAAAGCCGTTGGGCATTTCAGAGGGTCTTAAAGTCACTCTGAGAGATTTGTTTGGCTTTTTAAAGGGTTTCTGTTCGCTTTATGACAAATAAAAAATCCTGATAACAAGTATGCTGAAATGTTTGCTTTCTAGAAGTAATATAACACTATTCACAGGACAACTATGTCTGTGGCAGCAGAGTATTTACAGAAATCATAAGATAGTGAAATGCTTTTAAGGAATTCATTTTTACAAGCATTAGTCCCATGAAACTCAAACAAACTTTTAGTGATATTTGTGTGTAATAAGGCTGATTTTTTTTTTTTTAATTAAGCGGATACAGGCAGCACTTAAGTAACTTTTAAAGTTGATTTGGGAGCATTTGAAATAGATGTTTGTATCTACTTCCTATATCATTTAGTCAGTGTACAAAATACAGTTCTTTCTCATGCCAAATTTCTAATGTTTTCAGGATGGCAGCCTTAGTGCTATATATATGTATGTGGCAATTTAATTGTAACTGCCTGTGTATTATTATGTACAAAATAAATATCTTATAGAGGCCACAACTGATACCAAGATCCCTTTTCCTAAGGACTGTATGAGCATTTAATAAGGGACAACCTGAAAAGTCTATCTAAAAAGCAGAAAAGGGTTAGGTAGCGTGTTATGGCCCTTGTCTTTCATATGGAGAACTGAAGCTTAGAGAAATCACATGGCTGGCTCAAGGTCAAAGTCCCAGGAGTGCTAGAAGTAGGATCCTGAGTCCTGATCTAGTATGTTCAAATGCTCAGACAAAAAGAACAGAATGATCCTGAATGAACAGTGGTTTACAATAATGGTTAATGTCTCATTTCCTTTTGTAGAGACAGGTTTTACATGAATAAACTGGGAAATTTTGGCCAACATTTTATGCAAATATTTACTAGTAATTTACCACCTCTTGCAAAAATGTGTTTCTCTACATTACCTTAAAGTATTGACCTATTTTATTTAATCCCAGTATGCTACTGCTGCTCTGAAAGACAGACTGAGGCCTGAACATATGTCCAGGAAAAGCTTAGGGATACCCACATCCTGATTCTAATATTCTTTGTTCATTGTTGTATATGTGCTGCATATGTATGAATATCCAAGGTAGGTATGTCTTGGAACAGAAAGGATGAATTTGGAAGTTCTTACATTATACATCTTGTTGCTATTTTACTTTAAAAAATTATGACTGTAACATATGTACAAATAATAGCAAAGTCTGTTTTAAGTAAATAGTCCAATTTAGATACCCTAAATCTTTATTTATGTTCTGCTTTGCCTGAATTTTAAACTGATTATCTGATAAACAGTGGAGCAATATTGAACCACAAAATAATTCTCGCATCTCACTCTTGTATGCGAGTATAGGTGTAAATAGTTTTTGAGCATTTGAGTTGTGATAGTCAAATCATTTGATAGATTATAAACACAATTGTAAACACATTCTCATTTAATTTATATAATTCAGAGTCCATATAGTACATAAGCAGAAACACCTAAGTGGTTAATTGTACATTAAATTCCTTTCCTCTTCCCCAGTATAAACTCCTGTGAAAATATTTACATTCCCTGTCTTTCTAGATTTATTTATGACTTATTATAAAAACACAGAAGTATTATACATTGAACCTTGAATCTCTTGTTCAACTTCCATTCTAGTCCCTTTGATGTCTTTTAGTTGGTTTATCTTGCACCCTGTTTCACTCCTAACCTCAGAAATTGATGGTATTTCAAAATTCTGAACTATAGGCAGGATCATCTCTGGTTTAACATTTCCAACCTCTGTGTAGCCTGTTCCGATGCTTAATCAACATTGCAGGCTTCTTCCCAAGACCACAAACAGTTTACAGCACTCTTCCTTCACAGTTTGTCTAACACACTCTTCTTCAAAATAAAAAATTCACAATTGCCTCTTATACTCTTCTAGACCAAAACCTGCACCACAACACAAGGTGCTAAAAACTATAATTACTCTACTGCACAGCAAATATTAAAAACAGCAAGAAATAAAAATATGGTATTGGGTAATATTTTAAAATCTCAAAGCACTAATAAACAATGTGCACTTGTCTTGCCAGCAAGCAAAATCCAACTGCAGGCTGATGGTTTTGTTAATGCAAAACCTTGCAGTGAATCAACTTTCCAATAATATACTGTATACTAAAGTACACAATAATTTTAATTCATTAGTCCTTTTAAAATCTGGTTGAGTCTTTTAGGGATCAATGCTGAGTTCTGCATTAATTGATTTTGTTGTCATTTTGACGTTGCTGTCTCTCATAATTCACCCTATTTTTGATAAACATAAGTTGGAAACATTTTTAAAGCTTAACTGATGCTTTAGCTTGGGGATGGTTAAATTAGTAAAATCATTTCACTTTTTAAATAGCTTGTAGAACAATGTAGTTTCTTTAAAGTGCTGTTTCATATATGGGTACAGCAAATGTACCGTATTTAAAATTTTAAGAGTTTTTTAATATAAGAAAGGCTTTTGTAAATAAGAGTTTGGAAATTCTGCAGACATGGTAATTGGAAAACTTATGGTAAATAGGTATCTTATCTTTAATAATTTCAGAGGTTCAGTCATGCATCTTTATTTTTGTCAGCTATGCCATAAAAATTAACAGGCAGTGACATGACCTGCAGATGGCATATTATCTTAAGCTCTAGACTAAGCTGCAGAAATATACTGTTGTTTAATAAACTCCAGGAATGTCTTCATGAAACTTTCATAATTATTACATATATTCTTCAAATAGTGGATATTCTTAGAAAATTCTTTAACTTCATTGTTAAATTTCCATTAAGTTGCAGCTAAGAAATGTGTCCTAATAATTTGTCTATCCTGCAGCCTTTTCAACATGGTTATTCAATATGTTGGATTTTTTTAATGGTAGAGAGAAATCATTCAGTACTGGAAATGAAAAAAGTCTGGAAATCAGGAACATTTGCACCTATAAGAAATTTCATAAAATAAAATTTTAA